CTCTTCATCCTGGGGCGGTGGCTGAGGATAAAGTGTTTACAGGCGATAGGAAACTTGATCATTTCAATACGTATTCTGTGGAAGATATAAGGAAGCTGGTCAGTAGATCATCGAAGAAAAGCTGTCAACTTGATCCTATGCCGACCAATTTAGTAGTCGGCATGTCCGATATGCTTCTCCCCATCATCACTAATGTCGTGAATTCTTCACTTTCCTTGGGACACTTTCCATCTGATTGGAAAACGGCCCTTGTGGATCCAAGACTGAAGAAGACCAAGCAAGGGACTTCCTTATCCAATTTAAGACCTGTGAGTAATCTGCAATACCTCTCTAAATTGGTTGAAAGGGCAGTTTATGATCAGACAACCGATCACGTTACTCAGTCGGGTTTGTATCCCATCCTCCAGTCAGCCTATCGACTTGGTCATAGCACAGAGACTGCCCTATTGAAGATACAGAATGACATACTAGCTGCAATGGACAATCAACGAGTTACTCTTTTGGTATTGCTAGACCTGAGTGCAGCATTTGACACGATTGACCACCAAGTGTTGTTGAATCGCCTGTGCGTGACGTATGGAATTACAGGTACCGCTCTTAAATGGTTTCACTCGTATTTATCAAACAGGAAACAGCGAATCCTGATTAACGGGAGCTATTCGAGTGACTTTGATCTGCCTCAAGGGGTACCTCAAGGATCATGTCTTGGTCCCTTGCTCTTCACGTTGTACGCAAGTAAGCTCTTCGATGTTGTTGAATCCCATCTCCCTAACGTTCACGCATACGCTGATGATACGCAGCTCTATATCTCATTTAAGCCGGATGGTTCTGCTACTGAGACGGATGCTGTTGACGCTCTACAAGCTTGCATCAGGGACATAAGAACCTGGATGGTCCAAGACAAACTTCGGCTGAACGATGCTAAGACCGAGTTTCTTATTATAGGTACACGCGCACAGTTAAATAAGGTTATGATAAGTGACTTGCAAGTAGGTGAGGTAAAGGTTTCTGCGGTTTACTCTGTTAGAAATCTGGGTGCTTGGTTTGATGCAAACATGAATATGACCACACATATTAACAGCATATGTCAGGATATTTATTACCATCTACATAACATCCGGCGTATTAGAAAGTACTTATCATATGACAATAGGAAGTCCATTGTACAGGCTATTATAATGTCACGATTAGACTATTGTAACGGTCTATTATATGGTACGCCCGCTGTTCATCTTGGTAAGCTGCAACGCCTGCAGAACGCGGCAGCTCGGCTGGTATGTACTGTATCTAGGTATGATCCTATCACACCATCCCTGATCAACCTGCACTGGCTTCCGGTTACCCACAGAATAGAATTCAAGATAGCAATGCTAGTTCACAAATGTATCAACGGCGTCGCACCACAATATCTTTTAGACTTGATAAAAATCAAAGAGGGCTTGCGGTATCAGTTGAGATCATACCGGGGCATACTCCTAATGGACAATACCTATAGAACAAAATAGACACTTGGGGATAGGGCGTTTGAAAATGCTGCGCCCAAAGTATGGAACCGACTCCCTCTAGAAATTAGACAATGTCAATCATTAAACGTTTTTAAAGTTTTACTAAAGACACATCTTTTAAAATTAGCTTTTTATTAGTTCTTTTATTAACTCATATTTTACTTTTATTGTTTTCCGAAAATTGTAAATTATTATTATTATTATCACTATTTGGATTAGCAATTTATTACTTTAAGATTTTAGTGCTGTTATGCGCATTCGATCATATCTTTATCGCATGCTAGACTGCGCAATATAAGAAATAAACATTATTATTATTATTATTATTATATTCACGCTCTGTGTTCACGTTTCATATGCACGTGCTGCTTTATACGTTATATATTCAGTTTCGCTTGTACCTTTCGGGGCCTTGGTATACATTAAAATGTCTGTTTAGTACTCGCGTATACGTAAGGTTCGTTGTGTTATTACACATTGCGCTACATTTTAAGGAACAGTAATCGCAATCTCACTCAACCATCCAATAATAATCGATATAATCACAATTCTTTCACTTACAAGGCTTCGCATTTGTGGAATCAGCTTCCTTCTAACATTAAAAGATCGACTTTGGTGAGCGAATTTCGTAAGCATTTAAGACCTGTTAATCTTATAAACTTAAGAAACAGTTATAAATGTATTTTTTGTATATCTTAGATTTATTTATTTATTTATTTTTTCTTAGGGCTTGAAACTTATTCTTACGGTTTTTAGTTTTTAATTAATTCAGTGGGATGCGGGAGGGTATAGCTTTGACCTTGTATTTTTATTGATATTTTTATTAAGATGATTTTATTTTTATTAATTTAGTATTTTTATTGTCATACGTTTCATACATGAGCATCTGGCTCGGATGATCGGGGCAGCCCCGTCCCACGTATTGACGTAAATAAATTGATTGATTGATTTATTGAAGTACTTGTTGATTAAGCAAAGTTCTTCTTCTGACATCTAGCACCAACTAGCACCTCTTCCTTCAATTCTTGTGTGTGTATGCTATATGCTTTCGGCTTTATGCTGTGCTCTTTTTGTTTTTATTTTTTTTTTGCTAAGCCATTCTTGCTATGCTTTAGTTTATGCTCATCTGTTATATTTCTATTTATTTCTTATTTTTCTTCCTTTAATGTGTTTTCTTTCTGTGAATTAAGCTACATTTCAAATGTATACATTATATGTCTAGAGACTAACTGGAAAACCTCTCGATTCATTTAGGCTCTAGGCCAGAGGGGAGGAAGTAACTCTATTGTTTTCCACCTAAGTTTCTTAACCCACTCCGCCTGCCAGTATGACGTCACATAGTAACGGGCAAGATCCTCGGGTCGCTTGTGCAAATTAGCGAGGGATACGACAGTTATTTGGACTAGCAAGGTCGAGGAAAAGCTAAGGCTAAGAAGCTAGCAAATATCGCTATATATCGCTTATTTGATCAAATGTGTGTGAGCTTTGGTGTTGCTATAATCTGTTTGTGTAAACCGTTTTGATATTTTGTGTCCATGATCGTATAATTTTGTTAATTTGTTTTATGCGCCCGGTTGCGGGATCGCCATCGATTTTACGGGACCGGAAATGTCATCAAAACTTAAATGTTTTTTTTCTCTAAAATGGGCAAGGTCTAGTCTCCAGAATAGGAGGTTCCATTCACAGATCACACATGTTTATATCTATCTATTCTTTCGCTAACTAAACGGGCCGAACTTCATATCATTTCTTTCGAGTGTGGGCCTCCATCAAATTCAGTAAAACTAGGTCGATAGATTATGTACATCGAGTCGGCCCTTTGAAACCGAAATAATGCGAAATAGCTTTGAAATACGCGCTTAAGCTAATTTTCCTCAAATGTATATTTGAATTCATGATAAATACAGCTCCACCAGCTTCAAACAACGTCTGTGGCAGACAGAAATTGTTTTGATATGACAAAATTAATTATTGATTGTGTGTCACTGTGGTGCAGTGGTCAAGGAATTGCTTGCTCCTGCAGATAAACCGGGTTCGACTCCCGGTGACGCCATTTCCTGTTTCTTTGTTTTTTTTTCTGTTTGGTCTCTTTTTTTAATACTATTTCTCCTTTTGGCCTTTTTTTTCTTTATTCTTACTGCTGACGCTGCTGGCCATGCACTTGGATCAATATATATTTTGAGCTTAAGTCCGGAGTTTTATTTTGGAAAAGGGTTAAGTCTAGTTTTCTATGACAATAGAAACCTTAAAATCTCCAAATCCAAGAAATCGGAACAGTATAAAATCGAAATGTTTATTCGTCTCCGCGATGAACACTTTGCTTGCCATTTTGAAAGTCACTGACGCGAGACGTGACGTCATACCTGGAGGCGAACTGTACCACAGATTTCCTTGGAGACACCCCCCCCCCTGCTCTAGGCATTTCCTTCATTAATACATATTTTTCGTTATCTCAAAAGTTAACTAAAAAACGTGAATATGTATACAATTTAACTTAAAAAGATATGGGAGTTGCAAAACAAAGTTGTTGTTATTGTTAAAAGGTTACCCATCAATAACCGTCATAACTAATATCCTGACTGCACGGTCACGCAATATTCCAACCTGGTCGCTAGGGAAAAGCCCTGGGACGAGTTTAGCGCCAGTCGTATTACCTGTAATTCTCAGTATATCTTCATTAAGCACTGTTAGTTTTTTCACTGCAACCTTTTATATGAGGTGGTATAGTAGGAGGGCATGTAAGGTTTTGAAAGGCGCCACAATTTCAAATTCGTCCCAAGACTTTTTCCATGAATGTGGCTAGTAATGCGCTATGAATGGTCCAGCAAAGCAAATTGTCTCCATCGCCTGAGAATGACCACCAATACCACACGCTGAACCAGTTAACTATTAAGTAACATTTAAACAAAAATTGCAGTTCCAAAAAAAATTTGAAGAACGCCCAGACATAAATACACCTTGGTAATGACTGAGATCGCTTGGTGGGTAAGGGTTACTAACAGGAATTTTTAAAAGAAAAAATGTCTAGCGTAGCAACTCATAAAATGATCAATTTTTATCTTAACGTATTTGTTACAGCAAAAGCTGGAAGAAACAGACTTACCGCAGTGTGGCCGTTACGGAGGATGTTCAAGGCTAGGAAAGTTATTTAAGCAGAGTCTCGGGCCACATTTATGTTGAAAAATAACAAGGCTGTTTTCAATATAAGATCTTGGCAAATGTGTATTTAGAAATTATGCGCAGTAGTGATAGTAATGTAGTTGCAACTATCCCCTAATACCAAAACTGTTTTCAATACAAGATCTTGGCAAATGTGTATTTAGAAAATACGCCCAGTAGTGATAGTAAGGCAGTTGCAACTATGCCGGCCTCTCTTTTCCTCTCAGCGAAGATTGCTCCTACTTTTAAGAATGTCATTACGGAATCCTTTTGTAAAAGAGTAAAGTAAATTATTTTTCCAATTAATGTAGAATTTTTCTCGTTGGATATGTTTCTCTATTGAACAAAGATGTAGCCAAAAGCCACTATTGACTCTTTGTCTTCATATTCGTTTCCGCACGAATTATCGTTTTTCATTTCATACCAATTTCCTGAGGCTCCAAAACCGATTCTGGACTTGAACGGATTCCGTGCTCCGCATCGGGATTCGTGTCCAACAATACCAATACGAGCTCTAGCATACTTGCTGTTGCCGCTGTTGTTGCCGCTGTTAAAACCTTGCTGAGTACAATTTTCCTGTGAAAGAAGTTTCGAACATGTTACATGATAAAAGCACAAAAAAATTGTTAAGACACAAACTGAACCCAATCATAAGATCAAGATGGCAACTGCCCGTGTGCCCCCGAATATCACAGGGGTACCCAGACTATGCATAACAGTACATCTTTCCCTGTAGCCCTTAACTGAATGACAAATATAGCAAAGACTGTGAGCCAGTCCTATAACAAGGAAAACTAAATGTTAGAAATGTGTCTTCAGTTTGCAAATAAAATGTTCAGTGTTCAATGTCGTTCTGAACAATGAAATCATTCTCAGTAACGCAGGGGTACGCGGATGACACGACCACTGACTCTGCTGATAATGGGAGATATAGCTGATGTTAGTTCACTATCAGACTCGTCGCGAAGGTGATTAGGTAGTTGGTTTGCAACAGGGTCTCTGCTGTTGGTGTCCCCCGCTACTTCACTGGACGAGTCTTCATGTAATAGGGTTTCTTGTGTCTTCAGAATATCCCTCCGGTTTCGTCTGTAATGTGTAATGATGGTCATTCACTTTCACAATATATGATCTTGGTTCGCCTTTGTCAGATCTCTCCAACAACACTGCTGGTTCCCAGGTTCCTATCTGTTGCACCCTGATACTATCTCCAGGTTTTAATGGTTCAAGGGACCTGCAGCGTTGATCAAAATACGTCTTCTGAACTTGCTGTTTTTCTTCTGCGCTCTCTGAACTTCACTGGGGTCGTAGGCCATTGGCTTTAGCAAGGTATTCTTAATAGGAATGATTCTTCTTGTGCGACGTCCCATAAGCAGCTGAGTGGAAGAAAGTCCAACTCCAGGAATTGGAGTATTTCGTAACTCCAGAATTGCTAAATAGGGATCTTTGTTATCCTCGTATACTTTTTTGAGGAGCTTCTTGGCTGTTTGTACAGTACGTTCCACTAAGCCATTGCTCTGAGGAAATCTCGGTGATGAAGTAACATGCTGAAATTGATACTGTTTGGCAAACCGTTGAAATTCCAAACTGCTAAATTCAGGGCTATTATCTGAATGGAGAACTTCCGGTATTCCATGTCTTGATATATGCTGTTTTAGACAGTTGATGACAGAGGCACTTGTTCTGTCTTTGAGCTGTGTCAATTCAAAGTACTTTGAGTAATAATCCACTAACACAACAAATTTGCTGGTGCCAAAGAAAATAGCCAACATTTCCTTTTCTATGAGAGCACAATTTCGCTCGGCACTGTTCAGTGATCTTGATGCATAGGCTACTGGTTGCTCCCCTTGCAACAAACAGGCACCCAGACCCTCTGAGGAGGCATCAACAGATACAATGATATCGTCATTCACATCAAAATACTTAAGAACAGGTACCGGTGTGATACAGGTGATAAGTTCTCCGTACGCTTTCTGCTGTGCTTCCATCCAGTGCTACTCCACTGACTATTCCAGCAGCTCACAAAGTGGTTTATTAATGCTAGCCAAATTAGGAATGAACTTTTGCAGGTAATTCACTTTACCCATAAATCTTTGTAGGCTTGTTTTGTCTTGTGGAACTGACATATTCAAAATGGCCTGAATTCTGTCTGAACTTGGTCTCAAGCCATCAATCCCAAAAACATGTCCCACAAATACTGCCTTTGAAACTTGCACTTTTGCTCATTCAATCTTAAATCATTCTTTGCTGCTCTCTTCAACACCTGCTTCAGAGTGTGATCATGATCCTCTGTATTCTTGCCGCACACTAGCAAATCGTCAACAATAACTTCAGATATCTCAATGTCCTCAAGCATCTTGGACACGGCCCTTTGAAAAACCTCTGGGGCTGATACCAGACCAAATGGCAACCTCTCAAATTTAAATCTGCCACAGGGTGTGTTGAACGTAGTAAGCCAAGTACTTTCTTCGGCCAACTTGATATGGTAGAACCCTGATGTAGCATCAAGGGTTGAGAAAACTTTTGTTCTGACATATTTGCAGCTAACTCTTCCACCGTTTTTAAGGGGTAGTGTTCTCTCTTTACCGCTTTATTCAAATCAACAGGATCAAGGCAGATACGGACATCTCCATTTGGCTTCCGAACCACAACGACTGGGTTGACCTACTTGGTAGATTGTTCAATCGCTGTGATAATACCCATCTCTTCCATCCGACATAGTTCCGCCTTGGTGGGTGTACTACTGGAGTTGCGCTTTCATCAATCTTTATCTCATAGTCACCTAGAAGTGTTCCAATGCTTCTGAACTGGTCTGCATAGGTACTGAGTATTTCTGGTTCGGTGAACTGTGTACCAATTGATGCCACAGTGTATAATCTCTGAATTAACTGAAGGTTAGTGGCAGTTTGCAGCCCTAACACCGGTATTACATCTACGTCAAACACCTGAAACTCAATCACATGATATCTTCCTTAGTACTCAACTGCCACATCACTCTTGCCCAATGTTTTCATGACCGGAATAGGAAGAAAGTTTTGACCCTTTTTTACTGCCACAAACAATACCCACTTCCTTACAAATGCTTTCTGCCGGGATGACATTACAGTGAGCTGCATTGTCAAGCTTGAAGGATAAGTACTTCTCCTTTTATCATTCTCTGTGCATTTGTTGCGACTTAAAGCACCAATAAAAAAGGCCTGTTCGTCACTGGCACCTTTTTGGTCTACTGCGTGAACCTCCCTTTTTTTAGCCTGGCATACACTTGCAGAATGGTTAGGCTTGTGGAAAGCATTATAAGTCTTTTCATATGCAGGCGAACGGCCTCGTTTGTGACAATATCCTCAGAATTGACATGAAATCATTCCTGCTTTGCTATCTTTCGCATTCCCTCGCTCATCGTTCTGACTGTATCCTCTATTCAACGCATCATCTCTTACCACGTGCACTGCCTTTTCTTCGTTCAAAACTTTGAGCTGCCCAGAACTTATTTAAGCCGGCCGACAAATATATAGGCAGCCCTCCAAGGTCATTTCTGCTTCTCTTAGAAGTCGGGCTCTCACGGTGTCATCATTTATACCACAAACAATCCGATCAAGGATCAATTCATCTTTCGAATCACCGAATTCAAATCTTGCTGCCTTTTTACGCAAGTCAGTCACTTATGCGTCAATCGTCTCCCTATCAAGTCGATTCCTTGAAAAGAATGAATGTCTTTCTAAAGTTAGGTTCTTCCTCGCATTACAGTACCGCTCAAACTTCTCCATTATTTTATCTACTTTTTTCTTATCGCCGTCACTGACCTACTGAAACGTGTTGTAAACTTTTAAGGCCTCTGATCCCGCCACGTGCAACAGAGTCATCGCTCGAAACTTTCCACCTTCTCTTGCTAGGCCTGACGCTACTTCGTAAATCTGAAATTACTGCTTAAATCGCCGCCTGTTTTCCGCTAAATTTCCTGGGAGTACAAGAGTACTCGGAGGCTCTAACTTATCCATATTGGTACTTTTCTTCTGACACCATGTTAAGATGTAAACTGAATTCAATCATAAGATCAAGATGGCAACTGCCCCTGGGTCCCCCCAAATATCACAGGGTACCAAGACTATGCGTAACATTACAAAAATTTCCGCAGTTGTATTTCGGACGTTAATTTTGGGGACCCCTCCGAAACACAGCTACTTTAAAAACATTGTAGAAATGAACCGTTTACAATAAACTAGTTTTAAATCCCTTCATTTTTGTTCGTCATAAAATAGTATGTGTTGTAGTTACCCAAATTTTGGAATTATCAAGCAATTTCTTCCACTCCCCAGCAGTTAAATTGGTTGGTATGTACGTTCCGTTTGATATTACGTGCCCCAGGGATGACCCAGAATAGCTAAGCGAGATCCACTTTGCTTCTTCATTTTTGTAGTTCATTCCAAGGCAGAGTCGAGTAAAAGGCGTAGACCAGTAAGTGCTAAGTTTTGTCTCTACCTTCTCCAAGCTCGTACCTCCAGCCACATTGTAGGTAACATTGTCAGT